AATAATAGCTTCTCCTATACAATTAGTCGTGTGAAAAGTCATGTAGGGATATGCAAGAGAGTCATGAAGAGAAGGACAAGAACACAGCCATTAATGCGAAGATATTGGCAAGAATTGATTACAATTAATTCCGGTTGGCAAAGGCTTCTACTCTTGTATATAATAGTTTAGCGTGAGAGAGATTTACTCCTCACGCAACGTCTTCTTTATTTACCCTTTACAATACATTTGTTCACCCATCTCTTCTTCGGGAAGACCATATATCCATTGCCCAGTTCTTCATCAGCAAGACCCACGTGTAAAATCTACTGCAACTAGTTGCCCATTCATCTCTTCCTAGAGAAGACCTACATCCCTTTGACCCATTTATAATCTTCACTTACCACCTAGATCTTCACTAGGCTATACAACGCACCCCGTGGAACACCGTCAAACCCTCATCCCTGAGACTGCCTTTCTAGGGGTAGGGTTGAGGAAGATAGAAATTAACCAACTAATTAATTAATGCTTACTTATCAAGAATTTTCTTTCTACTGTAATGTACATAAAATGGTGGTATCAGATGATGTTTGGATTGAGAAGGATATAGATGTATATAGCGTCATAGCTAGTTAGGCTGCATACACTTTATGAATAAAAAAAACCCCGCCATCTCTCAATCTGCACACAGTACTACATGTAATGCAGTTGTGTAGAGACTGTATTTCCTTCATGCGCCATAATGCCATACTATCATAATAACTACCTATGCACCAGCTACTAGATCTACCATACTACATAGCTGAGTATAACACAGCTTTCATCGTTTGCAAGTTCTACCTTCGCGACGGAACTAAATATCTAACGCCGGTAACCCTCTGGATCCTAGACTCTCCAGGAGGTGTGACAATAGTACGTTGCTTTACGATACCTGCTTTTCCAAAGCAATACATGGAAGACAGTAGCTAGCACTCTAATTCTCCTATTCCCGACCGACACTTGCGAGAGCTCAAATTGATAGAAAATTGGTCTTAATGAGGGATGTAATCTACCTCAATACAGCTATGTAGTTCAGTATTTAACTAAAAGCAAAAGTCTCTAAGGAAAGCAATTTTGACGATTTCATACTTTTCCGAGCGCGTAGCAGGGTGGCCTTAGCCCATTGAGTACATATCGGGCTTGGTTTAAGGCACTAGCAATTCGGGCAGGTTACAGACTAAGCTGACCTACCAGAGAGCGGATGACAAAGGCTGAACACCTGTCAGTGGTATCCTCTACGAACCTGGGAGTGAAATATTCTCCCAGAGCCGAGATTCAGTCACGAAAAAGGGTGAATTTGAGACTTTTCGTCGAGTTGGCGATCGGGAGGAGTGGTGTTGGCTCATTTTTGGTCGAAAATCCGACTTGCAGAGATTTCACGACTGCACAACTCAACGAAATCAACCATCTACACCCCAGATACCAACCGCAGACAGCCTGTAACCTGTCTAATGTTCGTATTACAAAAATCGACACCTTCAACATCTTATTTTCTATTTCTCTGGAAAATCACTCCTACCCAAACTCATCTCGCGACCCTCTCAACAATCATCTCACCACCTACCTAAGCAATCCCATATCTCCAAAAGCCAAATCTCCAACTAAGAAGCAAGAGGATTTCCGACCCTCCACAACTGCCAGCCGCTGTGAAGGTACGGTCGAAATACCGGCCTTAAATGCGTCTTCACCTCGGCCAAGGGTACCAACAACTCGACCTATGACCAATCGCCACCGACAAAATACGTACGACATTTCGCCGGAACACTAACCAGAGCGTTCGACAAAGGCTGGGGCACCGGTGCCACGGTCTTGAGCTCTCAGTCGCGTCTTAGACCTCCACGGTTAGGGGTACGGCAGCGACGGGGCAAGGCCGGAGGGGTGGACATTCTACAAAGTTTCTGGGATGACGAGATCGGCTGAAGGACAGAGGGATGCGGTATGAAGGAACTAAAAGGTATTACAAACACAGGAGGCCTTGGTGGGCGACTGGATGAGGCCTCCAGTGAAGAAAACGACCCCTGGATGAGATGAGGAGATGCTGAGATGAGCAAAAGCTGGGAATGAAGCGAAGGGAAAAGTTACAGATCGCGGAGGTGTCAAGGGCTCGGGCGCGTGGTGGCTGAGGCTGAGGACGAATTTGCGCTTCGGCGCGCCAAAAGCGGGTTCTCTGGACGGTTGGGCTTGACATGATTCAATACATGGGTGAAGTCTGAGGTGGTCCGGCCATTTAGGTGGGACGAGGTTGATGTACTTAATGGTAGTTAACCTGATCCAGCCTGGCCCCACCCGTGCTTAAGCTCCAGGAGGAGTGCGCGGTAGTCACTTTACCTAGCACTTTAATGAGCAAGACAAGATAAGACCTACTCGAAACCTTAGGACTGGGTTTTGTGTTGAAAGACATTAAAGAAAATATAATATGGTGAATGTCAAGGTATGTCTCGTTGGTGCAGGGGTGAGTCGAGCCAGTCTAGGTCACAATTATGAGTCGCGTCAATCACGCTACTTGTGTAGATCAGTGGCGTAGAAGAAACTTGTATATGTATGCCTTGGATCCTCCCTAGATTTATTGTGTTAATGAAGGTCAATTCTATTTCCTTCGGATTCTATCTAACCTCCTCCTACTGTGCTAATTCCCTTGTCTTCCATACAGCTATACAGCAATACAAAACCACCCATTTAATATGTCACACTGTTTGCCAGCAAAAATGACTTCTTAATCTTGAATTGATGCCAGTGTAATCGCTCGGCATGCCTCACATATTCAGTATAGTCAAGAAGAATCGCATCTAAATCGAAATCGAAAGCAAAAACAAGCATCTATAGAATCGACGACATTTCATCAACATCGGTCACAAAATTCTCTCAAAAGTCCTCCATCTAAATCTCACTACACACCAACCCTATTCGATGACCTAAATACAAGTCCATAACACAGTCCCACAGCCCTTCTTACGGGCTCTCGAAATATCCTTAGATCCGAAGCTGAACTGGGAAATTCAAGCCAAGAGCCTTCAACTAAAGGTGGACATGTAGGTTCAGGGCCTCAGTAGCTTGGTACAATCAACATGGGGAGCGATATTTTACAAGTCAAAGATACTTGTAGCACGATTTTGTGACCGGCACCAACATACGAGTCACCTATTTGGGTCGAGGTCAGACTGAGTGGGAAAAAGCACCATAGAGGATAGTTATACCTTAGAGGCATGTAAAGAAATTGCTCGAAAATTGTCACCGGAGTATACAAGTCGATCAGCACGAGAGTGCTGGAGCATGAAACGGCAACCCTACCCATTAAAGTATTCTTGAAACAACAAAAGCTCCAACAAGTAGGTCGCCCAAAGTGTGACGCCCCGACATTTTAGTGGCCACGTGGTCGTCGGTTCAATAGTTGGTAAGCCGACACAGGGTCAATCCAGAAATTCCAACGACTAGTTTCACACACACGAGTCTTGTGTGTGACAAATCACGATACGAAAGGTTTGTCATGGATATTGGTTTTCATGCGAAACCCTTGGGTTGCAGGCAATGAGGGACAGGAGGTTTCGTGTTGGCAACTTTATTTCAACAGTTGAACTCTTATGTAAATATATACAGATTCATATCCTCCTAGATACTTTTCTCTTTAGTTTAGAATCTTATGATTTGAGTCCACGCCAGCTTTTGACCACTCGCCAATCGTCTTTTGTCCCTCGAGTTTCCACACAAGGGACCTACCAATCCAGAAGACAATCTAGTCCGTCCGTAGTAAAATTAAAATGCCCAAAAATTCGAGAAAAGTTATTTGAACAAATAACTGAAGGATAGATTTTGCTCACTGGACGGGAATATGCGGTGAACAACAAATCAAAAAGACACATATAGAGGTAGTGAAGGTCTAGGCATAACAAGAGTGGGCAAAATCCTGGGCCAACCAGAAACCGACTCGGCAGCTTCTACAACTTGCAGCTGTAGATCCCGAAACTTGGAGAGCGGTCAAATTCTACCAAAGTAGAAAATCTGGAAAGCGAAAATTGAGTCCACAAGATTCTCCATTTTTTCTACACGTTCACTTGACAAGGGCACAAAGTAGTTTGGCAATAGAGGTTCGTAGTGAGAACTTGGGTCTGAACCCATATGTACATAGAGGAAAAGTACCCAGGGTATTCAGTCTAGGCTGTCTCTGTGGCTATCAATCATAGAATCCCAAGCATATGATGATGTCCTGCGCCGGATGGTCAAATGGTGAAGTGGATATCTGGAGAATAGCTCGAAACCCGCTTACGATCCATGATAAATAACCCAGGGGACATCAAGAGAAACACAGAGTGGACACTAGGTCATGGTTGGATAGGACAATTTTAGATAACAGAGGTGGTCGAAATGCTTCTTAAGGAAAATACCAGGTCAAGCAATTCTTGGGGTTGATAAAGAGGATGCGATTAACTTACATGGGCGGCATTACAGTACAATTGTACTTCCTGAGAACAAATAACAAAATTGCAAGGAATAAATCAAAAAGCTGAGGAGTTTTTCACCAAGAGGTTTCCATACATTTAAATATATAGATATGTTTGTAGCCGTCTGCGGAGGCTTATAGGGTGCTTGATCGGGTTAAATGAAATTAAATCCAAAAAAAACAATGAACAAATAAATAAAATTTATACCGTAATTGCTGTAAGTAATGTGAGTAAAAGTATGTAGAGGAACGATGTCATTGGTTGTGGGCGAAGATGGATTGTTCCATATGAAAATATGCTATTAAAATACGAACAAAGATTTTCATAATCGGCGTTTTCCTCTCACTGTGGAAAACGTAAGAGGATACATAAATGTTCTTTTGATTGCTGCTCTCCTGATATTTGCATTGACCTAAAATCAGAAGAAATTTCCAACCCGTGACATGTAACAATCCGGACTTTAAAATATGATAGTCGTGTAATTCATTACATCATAATTTGTTGTAATATCTAGAAACCTAAGGTTCTAAATGCAGTTGGAGAAGATCATTTCGTGTTAGTCTTCAACTCGTCTATCGGACAGCTCATCGTTTTATCTTCGGTCTTAATAGAGTTTAGATGTGTAAGTAGATGCCGCTTGAGTTGGTCATATCGATGAAAGGATTTTCCACACTTGGCAACTGTACATACATGCGCACCTCTTTCTCCATGAGTCTTCCTATGTTTAGTCAGATTAGAGGACTCTGAAAACCTTTTGAAACATATGGGGCACTCGAGGGGTTTCTCATTAGTATGAGTGCGCTCATGAACCGCTGAATATAATTAGCAGAGCTATTACTACAAGATACCAGACGAACATACTACACGCACTCTGCTGAGTGAAAGTTTTATCACAGTGTTGGCATTTCCATGGCCGCTCGCCTGTATGAAGCCTGCGATGTTGTCTCATAGCCTGCGGTGCGGAAAATGATGCTCCACAAATATCACACGAGGAGCATTTAACTATAAAGATCAGAAAGATAGATCTTCTTGAACCAGGAGGACATACAATTAGTATGGGTAGCCATATGTCTCTCGAGTTTGCCTCTCTGGGAGAAGCCTCCTTTGGATCCTAACTTCACTTCCCGCGTACATTTGTCCCAACGACAGTAGTACCCCGTTTTTACATCCAAGGGCTCAAGATGGCTATCTTTGACATGATTTTGAAGATCATTCTCTGTAGGGAACCGCATTCGACAAATATTGCCACTCAAATCTTTCCACTGACAGTGATGTAGAGCGTACCTTGTTGTACTAAATGAAGTCTTCATGGGAGAACATTTAGTTTGATTGGAATTTGCTTGTTCCTGTTGACATATTAGTGGCCCCACATCTACTCCATCTTTCTCTTCTTGCTCCCCATTTCCACCAAGATCTTTAGTTGTAGTCTGATCGTTTACCGATTCTAAGTTTACCTCGAGGTTGCTGTTACTTTGGTACACTGGCGAGCATAATTCATCAGGAGATGAATGCTCTTTCATCGACTTGCCCCAGACCGGTATAGTGTGATTCTGCATGGCATGAGTTAGAAGCTTATCAGGATCATCAAACCAATTCCCACACGCCCATAACCGGCATTGAAGCTGCCCAGATCCAGGACTAGCGTGGTTATGACATAAATGATCATGAAAGGATAGCGGGCTAAAGGATTCGGTATTATTTTGGCAAGCTTCACTTGGGCACCGATATCCGTTCTGGTTTGGAGTAAAGTTGAACCCATGATAGGTTTGGAGATGAGCCAAAGGATCTGTAGCCATCGTCGCTGAACAGATATCTGTTTGTAGGGGACAGCTGTAGATCATCTGGGGATCAATGTGTTCTTGGTAGAAATGCGAGTTCCACTGCTCGCCATTTTCTATGACTCGACTACAATTAAGCCATGGACATTGAAAAGTGAATGAATGTTCTCCACTTAGAGGAAATCGACTTGGGCTATCCCACGAATGACTACACAAGTTGTGAGGAATGGCACTATTAGCCTGTGGAAGACATGCTTCTACATGATTATAAGAGAAATCACATGAGTCGTTATGCGAGTTTAGCGGTGAAAATGACCCATCTGAATTTGACTGCTCAGCTTGAGCTGAAAAAACTGTTGGGGAATTGTTTGATAATAATGTCAATGTTGGCGAGGATACTGATGTACTATGATAAGACGTTAAAACGTTAGGGCAAACCTGTCTTGATTTGTATTGATCGACCTTTTCCAGCCCACCTCCTACCCAGTTGCCTTCGTATAAAGACTTCGACTTATTTTGGCGCTCAAAGCAATTCTCCTCACAAGCAGTTGGAACGTTGCAATTGTCGCCATATACGCAGATTAAATTATTACCATCACACCCTGGATCGTTGCAAGGTGGAACTTCGCATTCAGAATCATCGCAAATAGACTCATTTTGACATTTGCTCGTTGTAATAAGCTCAGGAAACTCGCAGTCTGAGGCGGATAAATTGGATCTTCTCGGTGCCTTCAGGCTGGATTTCTGTCTTTTAGGACGTACTGAAGATTGAGATGACCTAACGTCCGGTAGCCCCCTTTTATTTATGGGGGATAAAGATGATTTCTTTGATGAATGAGATGGAGGGAATGCGAAGGGGGTACCAAACCGAGAGTACAGTTGAGCATTGTCTGTTGAGGAAGCTTTGAGAATTGGCATCCTAGTTATTAATGTGTCTATCGACTTAGAAAGTATGTCATCCGCAATGTTCTGGCCGTGAGGTTTATCTTCAATGCTGTAGAGCTGCTCTAGTTTTTTAAAGTGCTCAGTTTTGCTGCATTCGTCGGACTCCTCTAGACCTTCGGAAAATAGCAAGTCACACCATCGCAGGTCGATCATTTCTTGACTATTTATTCTGGCCATCAATTGCGAGCCTACAATTGAAATTTGAATGGACTGTGTGTAGCTAAATCCTCAATGATTGTAAGATAGCTTTACTATTACATTTGGAACTTGTATCGGCCAAGATACAAATTTGCCTTGCAGTAGGAAGGGTATCCAGCAAGGTATATCACGTGACACTGACAATTTACAAGCATTCGTAGCCTAGCCACACAGCTACTCACCCTGGCTACCACTTGCAAGCATCATAAGTCCATTCCTTTGCTAATAGGAGTCAACAAGTTGTTAGAGTCTTTATCACCGAGAAAACTTCTAATTCAGAACACGTTTCGGTCTGTGGGCCCACATTTGACGATTTAAGTGTGGCACGCAATCCTCCTAGCCAAGCGAATTGAACCAAGGAAGGTCATAAATTACTACAAGCAAATCCTCCTCATAATATTTCGTACTTATATCTAATAATCCAAGACTGAATATGCGTTCTTAAGTTACGTTCTATCTGTATCGATGTCTATTCCAACCCTGACATGAAATGGGCAACCTCTGTGGAAAAAGATCTATGGACGACCCTTTTGGGCAGCCAGGTCGCACCATCAAATCAGTACCACTTCACTCGAGTGTCAAAACCATACCAATTCCCAAAACTGTGGGGGAGCCTGCTCGCAGGCTTGGATCCAAGTCGCATACTGAGGGTGAAGACCAAGGAGATGCTAGGCAGAAAGCTGCTGAAGCAGCAGAGGTGAGATATCCTAAATCCATGACAATAATTTCTAAGAATGACTGCGTTAGGCTAGAGCAAAATTAGCCAGTGCACCGAAACATAAACTGGCAGGAAAATTACAGGAGCAAAAGAAGCTGACCCGCTCTGGTTTACTGGAAGATTTAAGCCAATCAGAATTGAAAGCTCGAGCTGTAGAAGAGCAAGCTAGGGTTATGGCATATAATTGATCACGATCTCCCCTCCGCATTAGAGGATTGAGCCTCAGGAATGTAGTAGCCCGCTTGATACATATTTCATAATTTCAGTTCTTTAATATTATTCTGTAAGGTACAATTATAGCTATTTAGGTTACAACATATCTACCGCTAGCTGGCGCCCTTCCTTCGGCGTCTGCGGCAGCCATAGTGCCTTCCTTCAGTAGTCGCATGAGCTCTCTCATTGCATTGGTAACCACGACTTCGGTATCCCCTTCAACGAGTATATACAGTTTTGGGTCACCGCCTGGCTGAACCTCCTTTCCTGTAGGATAGAAGCTGCCCTTTGTTGTGATGGATGTGCCTGTTGCTTCCAGGATCTTTGCCACGTTTGTTCGGTTTGTGACTGCCCATCTGGCTTTTTGTGGGAAATCATTAATTTCGAGGGTTGCATGGAATGCGCCAGCATCAGGGCCCTTATTATCGATGGGCACACCTGAACGAAGTTGTCCAGTTTTATTAAGCCTAGCATTTATTGCATCAATAGCGGAGGTTACTTTATCGAGTGGATTCTTAGATCCCCCGCCCGATGAGGCACTTGACTCTGTACGGTGAACAGTAATCTTGCCGTCAAGGTCAATACCTTTTGGCACGCCGAATAGTTGAGGAGAGGGAGCTAAGGCAGAAGCAGGATGTACTGTGGATGCTGCTTTAAGGACAACGTCTTCATCATCTTCCTTGTCCTCTTTCTCCTCGTCTTCATCTCCATCAGTCTTGTGAGTCTTTCGTTCTCTATTCCTAGCTGCTTCCCGTTCCATGTCAAGGCGCTCTAGGCCCTTGCCGCCAAAACCAGAGCTATCTTTCGACTTGCCCGTCTTTACTTTATCGCGGAATGATTTTCGCATGGCATCTAATCGTTCCGGAATAGGCTGGCCAGACTGCTCCAACGCTTTGGCGATCCCAACAGAATACTGCTCTTGGTCCTCCGTAACAAAGGTTACTGCCGTACCTGTATTTCCTGCCCGGCCAGTTCTACCCGCTCTATGAACATAATCTTCTAAATGATTTGGAGCATCATAGTTGACTACTAGCTTCAGTTGCTTAACATCTAGACCACGAGCAGCGACAGAAGTAGCAATCAAGATTGGGATGACCCCAGCCTTGAAATCATCGATAACAGAGTCACGGTCGATTTGATCTTTTCCGCCGTGTATTGACATGCAAGGGTAGCCTTTTCGCATCAGGTCTTTTAGCAAATCATCCGACTTTTCCTGACGATCCACGAAGATAAGGGTTCGGGCGTCTTCGTCATTATCGTAAAGTTGGCCCAAAAGTTCAAGAAGACGATGAAATTTTTCCTTCTCCTCACGAACCTCGACTATTTGGATTATCTCTGCTGCGACGACACTCCTCCCACCTACGGTAATTTCAACGGGCGATTGGAGTGTCTTTTTGGCTAGGGCATCCATAATACGAGGCATGGTTGCAGAGAATAAGATTGTTTGCCTATTAGGACGGATATTGGCAAATATCTTCATAACTTGAGGCTCGAAGCCCATATCAAACATTCGGTCAGCTTCGTCGAGCACGACATATGTGACCCGGCGCAGATTTGTTACCCTCCCTGAATTTGCCGCTAAAAGATCAATGATGCGGCCAGGAGTACAAACAATGATCTCAGCCCCTCTCTTCAAATCAGCGATTTGGTCTTTGATTGGTGCGCCTCCATATGCACAAACTGCCCTTAAGCACATTGCTTTCAAGAATGGTTTGCACTCTTTATGGATTTGAGTCGCCAGTTCACGTGTTGGAGTCATGATTAATCCAATTGGACCATCAGATCCTTCTAGTGATCGCTGATCACGTATATGTCGAAACATAGGGAGCATAAAAGCCATAGTTTTGCCAGATCCAGTCTTAGCTACACCGATAACATCTCTACCGGACATAATGGCAGGAATGGCCTGCATTTGGATTGCTGTAGGCCTCTCATAACCGAGTTTGCGGATAACTTCTAGAGACTGGATATTTAGCCCGCACTGTGACCATTTCTGAACAGGTTTTGGGACATCTTTACCAGATACCTTAATTCCATCTAGTTCAAGCCGTAAGTCAGCTAGTTCAGTTTCAGTCATATCGGCCAGTTCAGCTGGTTCTGTATAGAAATTTTTACGAAAGGGTTCCAGATCCATATTGGCATAATTTATAGTAGGAAGGTCTTTCTTCTTCCTAGCTTTATTGGCCATAGCAAGTATATCATCAGGGTCAGCCCCCATGGCGTTGAGTCCGACACCATCATCTCCAAAAAGGGGCTCCGGTTCTTGCTGTTTGCTCCTATTACCTGTCTTTAGATAAGATGTACTATCTCTAGGGATAGAAAAGGGATCGCCAATACTTTCCATAAACGCATCTAGGGGATCGGCATCTTCATTTTCTTGAGATAATACTTGCTTGTTAGACGGTGATATATTAGAAACCGATAATTCATCCTTGGCATTCTTGTTGACGCCATCCGTAGAGCCTATAATCCCGACGGTACTGATATTTAGCGCTTTATCTAGCCCTCTGTCATCTCGTTTTTCAGCGGCCGCCCTTGCTGCTGCCGCTGCTTCTTCCTCTGTGCTCGCATTCTCCATGCTAATATCGCCTTCGGGCTCAGCTTCATTTTCATTAATGGATAATAACTCTTTCTCCATCATATTTTCAAGGGGTAGTGTGGGCAGCTTTTCTAATTTCTTTCTTGCACTCTCATCTTCACCAAAGTCGAGAGCGCGCTTCGAAGGAATCTTTTCATTATCTTGCGCAGATTTCACACACAGTCCAAATGCACTTAAATTCCTTCTTGCTTTTGGCAATGCGGAAACTAGATGGGCTTAATTAGCAGTAGATAAACCGAAAAAGTGGCAGACACACCCTCAGCTGTGTTACTCAAAATAGTAGTTTTTTGATCAACTTGAAGTTTTTTTAATGGTGTGAGATTTGAAGTAGCTTTTGAGACGTCTTTCACAGATAAATCTTTTCCTAAAGGCGTATCACTTGTACTTGATACGGCCTTCTTGGCCACAGCTTTAGGATCAAATTTCCCAGCGTATGGAACTTGGGGAGCACTACTTTCGGGAAGAGTCGAATGTTCGAGTATAGGTGTGAATTGAGCCTTTTCATTATCTCCCGTGCTATTTTGTGAATCGACAGCAGCAAGAACTTTTTCCTTTCGCACTTTGTCATCAGTCATTTTTTTTTTCCATGCCTCCAGCTTTGCTAGTCTTTCAGCCTTTTTTTCAGCCTCACGATCACCAATTGAACCTTCATTCCTCGATATCTTGTGTGCTAGTGAGTGTAAAGCCTTTTTAAAGTGTGGAAATCAGACTTACCTCGCCAACCAAGGTGCCCTCTGCTTTGCTTTCGCCTCTGCTACGAGGGACAGTGTCAGTAGAAACATCAATCCGCTTTCGATTCCTATCAATAGGATCATCTCGCCTGTCTCGAAATTCTCTATCACGGCTTCTGCGCCGCCTCCGATCAGGGGACCGTTCTTTATCATTGTACCTATCTCTCCGATCCCTAGATCTATCTCTTCGATCAGTTCTGCGGAAATCTTCTTCTCGTCGATCTGTAGGAGGCTCTCTTCTTCGATAGAGGTCACGATCTCTATGTCGACGCTATCAAAATGATTTACTTAGTTTACAATAAACAGTAGTTAAATCATGACTTTTCATACCTCTACACTCCTAGAGCGACTCCACCGCCTTTGGACCCTGGGCTCATCTCTACGATCTCTTCCTCTTTGAACGTCATCTCGTCGGCTTCTCTTTGAAGAGAGTTGGCTTCCTGCTGGCGATGGTGAGCGAGTATCCTTGCGCCGAGCCATATTCGCCTCAACTGACGGCGGTTATACTTTCAGAGATGCACACAATGTACTTTAATTTTTAACCGCAGTTACTAGCTGTAATTGATTTTTATCTCTAATGGGAGATGCGAGGCAAACGCTGTTGTCGGAAATGGTGATGGCACTGGGCATTGCACATTAAGCCGGGATATAAGCAAGGATCTAACCGCTATTAGCCGCCATTCAAACGCGTTGCTCGATCTACTTATTTACAACACATTATCATCAATGATCCCGGACAAGCCAATCCATCTTAGCCACAAACCAAACGCATCCCTAAAACAACGATGCTGTCTGCCATCAGTCAGAACCTTTTAAAACGAGTCACATCTACTCGGCTCAAGAAACCAAATAATGCTCTTTATGGCTACCGCCAGACAAACCATTCAAAGATATACTTTGCTAGCAACAAATTGAGTAGTATAACAGTGTTGTGTAGTAGAAATTCTTATTCTACTTCACGTATCAAATCATCTCCAAAGGTTAACAGCGTCAAAATTACAGGAAAGGACAGCCGTAGCCGAGTGATTGAAAATGCGTTGCGTAGAAGCATCAAGCCTAAGTCATCGCGACTTTTAATTTCCAAGAGGCCTGGAATCAAATCATTTAAGAAATCAGCCAAACCTCGCGGGAATTATCTTACACCACAAAAAAAGTTGCGCCTAAAGATAAGAGAGCTAAGACGAAGAGCTCTACAGCCTCCTAAACCCCTCCCCCGTACAGCGCGCTCAGTATACATGGCACAGCATCTTACAGGAACAGGATCAAACACTAAAACCGTACTCTCCGACGCTTCGTCCAAGTGGAAATCAGTCTCCTCGGCCGAGCTAGAGGTAAGAAGATATTCATAAATACAGAGCACATACTAAAATTGAAGCAGCAATATCGAAAGACAGCAGCACAAAACAAAGCCACCAATTTTGCAACTTTAAACGCTTGGCTATCTCATTATACCCCTGATCAGATTCGCATAGCAAATAACGCACGGCGAGTTTTGAATAGGAAATATGGACGAAAGATACCTTTGGCACGGATTCAAGATCCTCGTCTACCTAAGAGGCCTCTGGGGGTATACGTATGCTTCGTGAAGGAACGATTCGATTCCGGTCAATTAGTTGGAGTCCCATTTCTCACTGCATCAAAAATGTTAGCGTCAGAATTTCATGCACTCGCCCCTGCTCATCGCAAGGTCAGTCTTCACGTCGACATAAGAAGTAAAATATATTAACAGGAATAGAAACTGGAAGACACAGCTCGAATTCACAGACAACGATATATCCAAGAATTCAAAATCGCATTCAAACGCGACTCTCGAGCAAAAGCCTGAAGATATAACCAAGAGGCTTGTAGCTGTCTAATAAAATCTCACCTGAACATGTGTATCGTTAATACTCTAATGCCACGCGACGGGACATACACTCATTAAATTCTCACCTGGCTAATCACTGATGTTTGTTGAATCTGAAGAAGAAAATTCCCTAACAAACAAATCATTTTATGAGGGTTTAACAGTGTACTGATTCCAAATTTCACGTTGCTAAGTATCAGTTTGTAGTCAAATACCCTCGACTTTTACATAGACAGCTTTCGTTATTGGAGCAATATTTTAACAGGAACATCCAAGTAACGTAGGTTAAGTACCTTTGTTCTATAATAGACTATAAAAGGTGAGATTTATATAATAACAAGGTCGACTACGTGAGGATACAACTATTTCCACTCCCGTGCAAAGTACAAGAGCTAGGTATTCACGACAACAGTTATTTTGTGTAGTGCTCTAAAATTCAACGATCGCTGAGGAACTTTCGAGTCTATCTGATCTCGCTTGTGTTTTGAAGGCGTTTGTCATCATCGTACGGAAGGTTTACTAAGTAGTTTCTGAGTCATGTATAGACCTCATATTCCAATCGCTAATTCTTTTTAACCTGAGGTCGATGAGCAATATGGCAATATCCGCATACATAGCCACCATCTGACACAGATATTGCAATCAGAAGAAATTGTTCGGTCCTAGGCCTGAGTCGTTCCAAGCCCGAACGAGAATGCCTCATAGACTTATACAAGAAACGATCAGCGTCTCAGAGTTGCGGCTGCCAGGAGACTATGCTTCGGTCGCTCGCACATTTTCTGTTTGATAGGCATCTTATAATGATCCAAGTCGCCAGCCCAATATTAAGGGTCAGGAAATATTTTTTTTTTCTTGAATATGTTTTTTTCCCAAAAAGTTATCACATTGCAAAGGCAAGTAGGTTCTTTCTACATACAGGCTGTGAGTATCTATGCCATGGGTAGTTATGAACCATTCGCCTTGTCGAAAATGGAGTCTCATAGTGGTCTAGCTCTACAGAACTTTCGTTTCATTTGGTATTTGTAACTATCTTGTACAAAGTATGGGGTTGAAATCTGTAATAAGGTAAGGCTTCAGTGTACATAAACGGCTCTTATTGCGGAAACAAGGAATACTATGGACGACTTCCATACCTAGATGAAGACAAGGGAGTATGGGTGACATTATATACACCGCCATGGTTGGATGGTGCGGTGTTACATCATCTAGGCCGCTCTCTCAAGTATGTTCTGGACTGCTGGGACACGTATCCCGCTCAAGGTAGGAGATCGCTGGTTCAAATCCGGCAAAACACAACCACATTTCTTGCGGCGCCGGTATGCATGGATGATGAAGGCATGCTTGGACAACCAGAGGTTTTGAAATTCCCTTTGGTGGGTACTTACGGAGGATTGGGGATTGTCTGTGTAAGCAGGCATACCTCATAGTGGTATTTGCGAATGAAATCCAGAGTATGAGTGTCTCTAACGTCAAAAGAGACATCCCACATGTATACATAGCACTGATCATGTGTCATAGCTAGATAGCTGAATACACATTAAATGATTTAAAAAAGAAAAAAAAATTGTTGCTCCACCTATTTTTTACTTGCTAGTATCTACATCGGACTATCCTAATTCATCTCCGGACTTATTCACGATGCGTCTGGGCAGGCAAGTTAAACTAGAACAGTGGAATCTACTGCTGCAAATTTTTCAAAGAACCACACAAACTACCAACGCATAGCGAATAGTCGCGGTCAGAGCCATAGCTAGCCTCACGATATCTACAAGTATCAAAATTGTTAACCTTAAGACTGTCATTTTTAATTGAGTTTCGATACAAACTGGTGATCGCAGGCACTGACAAGTTTACCGTGCCCATGGTGGAGATAGATGAGGTTCTCGAAGCCTCAAGAGCCCATTCTAAGATTTTACGATCAAAGCGAACGACAACGCTAGCGTAGAAAAGGATGCTGTCCATGGAGAAGAGAGTAAAGAATATTCTCGAGGAGCTCTTCCGCAAGACTGCTCCACAGTTGACACAAACAATAGGATGATGACCCACCTACCCCTCAATTGTCGCACCGTCAGCGACTAAAGCAGCAGCATGGATACTGTCAGAGAATACATCTAGATCAGTATCATCCCCTGCCAAATGCTAGTCTTGGCGTATAGCCTATTATTTTTTGGTCTATTTTGTTAATTAACGTGCTAGATAAAGTGATTTCGGCAGCACTCTTACTGTAGCTGAAGCACGAGTGGGGCTGGGCCGGGCCGGATCAGGTTAACTACCGTGAAGTACAGATAAATCTCTGTTGGTAAAACACGAAGTAATACAAATTGGGTGCCGTCACGAAGTCAGCTGTCCGTCACGAAGTCGGTGAATAATGTCAATTAACTGGTATCTCGAAATACATAAAACGTTGTCTCTTCCTTTTCCCTCTCCGTCTCCCCTTCCTTCCTCTACTCCAAGCGCCTCGCTAATGAGCTAAACTAGGCCCCTGTCAGTGTCCTACCGACAATCTGAATACCGCAAATACATAGAACAATTCACACTACCCAAATATGATCTTTTTACCGACAATCTCATCCTGTAAAACTTACCGGACCACCTCAGGCTTCACCTGTATGTTGAATCATGTCAAGCCTGATCATCCAGAAACCCGCTGTATGCACACCGTAGCGTAAATTGCTCCTCAGCCTCGGCCACCACGTGCCCGAGCCCTTGACACCTTCGCGATCTGTAACTTTTTCCTTCCATTCAGTCCTAGCTTTGGCTTATCTCATCATCTCTTCCAGGGATCATTTTATTCATTGGAGTAAAGCATATGTGTCGGTGGGTCAAGTAGTGGCTTGGTTACCACAAAGGTTGACTTCAGGGCTTATCTCATATGACGTTGAGTTGTCTTATGGGTTGGGAGGAAGCTCCAGTTCAATTTTACTTAGATTGTAACTAGACTCTTTACTGCTGATGAGATTGGCCATACGACGTTCATGTATCATAATTACCTATTGGAGACTACCTTCTTATTCGAGCTACCTGTAATCGACTTTGAACTTGATCGTCGACTTTGTTTATTGGTCTGTTATCACAGACACGGAAATAGATTCATGACATTGCTTTGTGAGAGGCTAGGATTGATTCCGATATAATTTGGTTGAAGTCTACGTAATTACCCCCATATTCACCATATCTGCTAGCCATTCTATATCTAGCGTGCATAGCCTGATTTATCTCATGGTTCTGGGATGGAGTTGTAGTTTCCGAATAGCAGTATTCTCTTAGCTACAGTCAACCCCCTGTTAAGACGATATTGCCGTTAAGACGATATTTTTCCGGAACGGACTCCGTTTCCATACATTTACAATAAGGAAATGGTTAAAATGTCCTTTGCAGCTATTGATGGTGACGTGAATTAAGATGATGATTGTGATTGAGATAGATTTCTATATAGTTTATAATACATGATATGTTCAGGTTGATATACCTCGAGCCAAGCAACCAGATTATGTTCCTCTAGATCTAGATTTATCAGAATAATTACTTACTCAGTAAAATTCTCCTAGTCTCAGTTGTGTGTTTAGGATCTTGATTAGGTTTCTAGTAACTAGTCAATGATGTTTCTCATATCACTGAGACATAGTCATGGTTGATACAACAGGTACAAACGATGAGTCGTGCCTGTACATGACGTTGTGATAGTCATGATCGTCTGAACAATATCAACTCATGAATGAATCATGTCTCTACATGACATTTACCGATAACACGATCATCGTTCTTCAACCTCTGAATATCGCCTTAGCCAGAGTTTTTTTGCTAAATTGGTGCTAACAATGCCGCCAAAAAGGATATTTTTGTAGAGCAACAAGATCCTCTGTATAACAACATTTTTCACGGGCCCGATTACGTCATATTAACAGGGGTCTGACTGTAGCTGGATTATGTAATCAAATCCTTTAAAGCGATATCCACTATAAGACTATAATTTTCACGGTGTGACGAGAGCCTCGAGTTGGTGATGATATTGTCGATTTAATAAACTTTATAAAAAAGGAAGTGAAATCTAGCTACAACTGACGGGTATTTATAATATTCAGCCCCTCAGTGATTGTCTTGACTGATTTCTTCACCCTAGGCCGAATACTTGCCACCCAGCCACAAATTATCAAGAATCACTACGCTGTGACACTGATGTGGCTCCTTGGCTGGAAGTGCCGTATTTTCCAGTTTCCTCTATCATTTCCTTACAGTCTTACAACATGAATCTTCAACAATACGCTTAGGTATCCACATAAGCTCAGACAACGGCCAAACCGTAACACACGGCCTCAATTACATCGTCTTAACAGGGGTTTGACTGTACCACCTAATCCAAACAACCTGTATATCATAATTCCTACCCGGTGATATTATCTATCCGAGACGTCTCCTTTACAGATACGAGTCGAAGAAGTACAAAGTTTCAGCAGCCGGAGCTGCTTTACAAAGCTTAATAACATGTTGAAGGGGCATACGCTGTAAGGAAGCTACGGAGCAACGACACTGAGTTGTTCGTACAGTTGGCCTCCCAGCGTTGCGCTGCCTTGACGGCGCAGCCGTCGGAGTTATCTGACCGATGCAGGATTATCCTGTACAAATTTTGGGTGGTTTTCAATTTTAGTTGTCTTAGTCAAACATATTCACTTCTGAACCTTGACACCTTTGAGTTAGGACTCTGATTATCAACTGCTTCGGATTATTAATGATAAAATGCTTGTAGTAATAATATAAACTGCATTAGTAGCGCCATGTTACAGCGTTATTTATTGCATCAGATTTTAATTGCGTATGCAGCCACCTCGCTAAGACACAATATCAAAGAAAATTACAGAAAATATGACTAAATTTACAAGAAAAGTGCTCATGCCTCAGATTTCGGGCTGCTGTACTCGTCATGCTTCAACACATAGATGCGTTTCGGCATGGTTCCGGTCATTGAGGTGGGACGAGGCACT